CCGCCGCCGCCAACGGCGCACCAGGAGCTGGGCACCGCGGCAGCGGCAGCGGCGGCGGCGTCGCGCTCGGCCATGGTCACCAGCATGGCCTCGATCCTGGACGGCGGCGACTACCGGCCCGAGCTCTCCATCCCGCTCCATCACGCCATGAGCATGTCCTGCGACTCGTCCCCGCCCGGCATGGGCATGAGCAACACCTACACCACGCTGACGCCGCTCCAGCCTCTGCCGCCCATCTCCACCGTGTCGGACAAGTTCCACCACCCGCACCCGCACCACCACCCGCACCACCATCACCACCACCACCACCAGCGCCTGTCGGGCAACGTCAGCGGCAGCTTCACCCTCATGCGCGATGAGCGCGGGCTCCCGGCCATGAACAACCTCTACAGCCCCTACAAGGAGATGCCCGGCATGAGCCAGAGCCTGTCCCCGCTGGCTGCCACGCCGCTGGGCAACGGGCTAGGCGGCCTCCACAACGCGCAGCAGAGCTTGCCCAACTATGGGCCGCCGGGCCACGACAAAATGCTAAGCCCCAACTTCGACGCGCACCACACTGCCATGCTGACTCGCGGGGAGCAGCACCTGTCCCGCGGCCTGGGCACCCCGCCCGCGGCCATGATGTCGCACCTCAACGGCCTGCACCACCCGGGCCACGCTCAGTCCCATGGGCCCGTGCTGGCGCCCAGCCGCGAGCGGCCACCCTCGTCCTCGTCGGGCTCACAGGTGGCCACATCGGGCCAGCTGGAGGAGATCAACACCAAAGAGGTGGCCCAGCGCATCACCGCCGAGCTGAAGCGCTACAGCATCCCACAGGCGATCTTCGCGCAGAGGGTGCTGTGCCGGTCTCAGGGGACGCTCTCCGACCTGCTCCGGAACCCGAAACCGTGGAGTAAACTCAAATCTGGCAGGGAGACCTTCCGCAGGATGTGGAAGTGGCTGCAGGAGCCCGAGTTCCAGCGCATGTCCGCCTTACGCCTGGCAGGTAAGCCCAGAGGGTCGCCTGGAGCCAGACTGCTGGGGAGACGGCTCCGGGGCGCTTGTGGCCCCTGGTCATCGCGCCTAGCCACTTCTCTCGGTTGTCTCCTCCTCTCCCCGACACACTTCCTATTTCTTCTCGACAACGATTCTTCTTCCATTTCCTCTTTCTCTTCTCCTTCTCTTTTCTGTTCTCCCTTTGTTTTCTTTTTTCTTACTTCTTTTCCTTCCTCCTTATCTCCGAGCTTTCATTGACCAACCCCCCATTTCATTCGCCCTGCCCTGAATGTGCCAACTTTGCCCTCTCTTTCTGACCCTCCCCAGTTGTGGGAGGCGGGATGGGGAATGCGCGGTGTCCGCTAGGAGGTCTCTCTTTCCAGGACTCACAGTGACCAGGGACTTCCCTTATTCAGAACCCTGAACACTTGAACTCTTGTTTAGACAATACATTTCAGTTTTCCAGGCTGACTAGTCTCCCTAAGTGGAGACAGTTGAGGGGCTGTGCCTTTCAGAAGGGAAAAAGATCTCTCTGCTCTTCTCCTACCCACCATGTCAGCCAAACTTCTTTGGTCATTGGCAGGAGTCACAGCCCTGCCCGCGCGGGGAACGGGTGGCCAGGATACAACAGCGCTTCCCGAGCCCATCTCCGGCCTTGGCGTTGGCGCGGGGACTTTCTGAGCGAAAGAGCGAGCTTGGGCCAGCTCCCTTGTCACTGCCCACAGGGAGAGGAGGGTACAAGGGCGAAGGTTGGAACTGCCACATTCACCTCTTTGGGAGGACGGGAGAGGAGAAACTAAAAGTGTAGAGCGTCCTGCCTTACTCGCCGGCCGCCCTTGCCCTGCTCCCAGCTTTTGCTGGGATTTGCCGAGGTTTGGCTCGCCTCCGGGAGAGGCTAGGCGCTCGCAGGAAGAGGTGCAGAGAAATTAAGATGCAGGTTAGTTAATGCATCTTGGCCGCCGGCTACAGGCTCCACCTTAGCATTAAGCGGACGCTGATTGCGCGCGTAGTGCGGCGGCGGGGAGGGCTGGCGGCCCGCGGGCGGGGACGGGTCGACGCGCTGGTTACATTGTTCTGGAGCCGGCTTGGCGCTTTGTGCCTCCTCTAGCGGCCAAGCCGCGAGGTACAGCCCTCTATTGTTCTAGGAGCACAGAAACCTCCTGTGTGGGCGGCGGGAGCGAGAGAGAAAGACGCAGCAGTGGCTGCGACTGGCAAGCACTTGCGCGCTTTTGTGCACACAGACCCAGCGCGGTGCGCGTGGCAATTGTGCGGCCCCCAGGATCGAGCCGCGGGCCAAGAGGGACAAAGTGTCCAGGCGCCTCACGGGGGAGGACACACAGTACCCTAGTTCGAGCCGGGATAGGCAGCTTCTCTTACACTGGAGCGATCTCTCTGCATCGGCGGGGGGACAATTCTGGGGGACAGTTCGTGGTGGCAGTGATTCACATAGGCGCAGATAGTGGGACACGCGCGGTTCCGAGCCGGCAACACACAACGCGCTTCCGGAGCGGCGAGCGCAGGCTTCCTTTCCCGCTCCCGGGGGCTTTCCTCGCACCGCTGAGCCTGGCTTATGGGGTGCACTCTACGGATGGCTGTTGGAGCTGGGGGATGTGACAAGCAGCGTGTTCACCCATGCTTGGGGAGCGAGCGTTTCCGCTCTGACAGCCTCCGCCTTTGCCCACTCTTGGAGGATTCCAATCTCTAGTCAGTAATTGCCCCGGCAGTGTTGATATGAAAAGATAAAGAAAACAAGCTTTCCCCTCCGAGATCTTCCTAAAATCGGTGGACTACAAATACTTATGCGTGGATTTAGAAATCTACTTTCTCCTTCTCCTTTAGCTTACTCTTCATTCTCTCCTACAGTTTTCTCTGATTTGCTCTTGGCCCCTAGCAAAGATGAAGCAGTGAACAGAGTAGCGATGAGAAATAAACTGGAGGCTTACTAACAATTCCGAACAGTGTGGTACACCATTGTCTTAGGCCCCCGAAACCCCCCCCCAAGTCCCTCTCGGGCTGGCTTCCTGGGCACAGGAGGCCAGAATGAACTTGGCAGCCTTTCTTGGGCGGGGGGGGGGGGGGGGGGGGGGGGCACAGTTAAAGGCAGGATGACAGCTATTCTATTCCAGCCCATCTCAGAGCGCTGCCGCCCCCTCATGCCTGTGGCGCAAAGGACAGAGCTTTTAAAAAGACACGTGCCTTCTGCCTCTGTATGTCTGAAAGTGATGTGAAAAGTAATGCTTTACCTGTTAGCCGCGTCTCAGCTTTTACAAGGGGTTCAAGCCTTTCTGGGATGAGGGAGAGTGTGGCATCCCAGGGGTCCCCAGTCCCACCACCTACCCTGGGGCGACTCCTCAAGGGCTGGCCTCGGGAGTACGGGGCTTTTCGGAGGAGAAGCGCTGAAGCAGCCTCCGTGGGAGACTGAAGACTGAAAGCCTCCTCCAGCAAGTGGGAAATTCCTGCTGAGGACCCCGCTTTGCTCAAGCATTCAAATGTGTGTCTGTTTTATTACCCCGAGTTGAAAGGGGACAAGAGCTTTAGCCTTTTTATCTGGCCATTTTATCAGCAACTACAAGTGTGTTGAGTGGTTATTATTACATAGGAGGCTTTTCAGTTTGGGGTCAGTAGATCAGTCTCTTCAGACACTGACGCGGAAGCTGGGACTGGTAAGTAGGTATTATGTGCTCAGGAGCGCTAGGGCACAGGAGCAAATGGAGAAGAAAAGCGGAGGCCTTCTCCGCCGGAGTATCGATCGGAATCCCCGCCGGGACGCCGCTGAGGACCCACACCGCTCGGCTCCGGGGGTTAAACAAGCCCGGTCGCTCCACAGGGCGGCTCGGCCTGACTCCCAGCCCCGCGCCCCGCGGAGACGGTGCCGGCCCCCCCAGCTCGCTCAGACCAGGCCTCTTTGCTCTCCCTTCTACCCTCCTTTTTGTTTGTCTTACTCATGTTGGGCCCCTCTAGGTCTTGCCAGAGGCCCAAGCAGACAGGGGTTTGAGGGACCTCAGAATTAAGATGTCTGATTTGGGCCAGCGCCCGCAAGCTTCGCCCTTAGGTGAAGTACACCCCGTCACGAGCGAAGCAGCTCCTTGCTCTCTTCTCCCACCCGCGCCCCATGGCTCCCCTCTCTGCGGGCCTCTGTGCATCCACAACCCGGGGTGGCATTTCAAAGGGGAAGGGAGAAGACGTCGGGGAACGTCGGCCTGACCCAACATTAGATTTCAGAGAAATGGAGTCCAAGTGCACGATTTCGTGCGGAAAGGGTGGCGCGGGCGGCAAGTGGTTGCAACCGCGCGCCGTCGGGCCTCGTCCACGGCTGGCTCCCGAGGGGCTGGCTCCCGAGGGGCTGGCTCCCGAGGGGCTGGCTCCCGAGGGGCAGTTTTTATTAACCGCTTAAGAGGCGGCAAGGACAAACTCCCGCGGGTTCGAGCGCAAACAGTCTCAGGCTTTGAGCCCAAGAGGCCTCCGAACCAGGCACAAACACGAACAAGGAGGGCCTGAGAGAACCCAGGCAAGAACCTGGACGGGCGCCCCGCGCAGGAAAATCGAGGCCTCGTTAGGCGAAGTGGTTTCCTCTAACGCCCTAAAGACAGAGCAGAGCCCCGGACGACATACCCTGCCGAGGTTTCCGCCTCCTGTGACCTGGGCTTACAGGGCGGCCTGCCCGGAACCTGCCTCCTGTCCCCACTGCGGACAGACGCACGGTCCTCTTCAGGCAGCAACTCTCAGCGGCCAGTCTGGAGCCAACTCTGTTCAGGCAGCTGAGGGCCCTTAACCAACTCGCCATGATGTCGCCTAGGCCACCTGACGTCCGCAGCGGCGCAGCAGGGCCGGGGCAGAGCGCAGCGGCTCCTGCCAGGGGCACCACGTGCGCGTGTGGTGTCTCCTTCGGCGACGGGGACGTCTTAGGCTCCGCTGGTCGACTGGTGTCTCCTAAGTCGAGGGCGGGGGCGGGGACCTCATTCGCAGAACCCCCCCACCTCGCCTCCCCTCCCGCTGGTCCGGCTCCCGGCTTGTCTCGGCTCAGCCCGTCTCTCCCAGCGGTTTAGTTAGGGATCCGAGCCCGAGAGGCCGAACACAGCCCACCTCGGTACGGAACACGCGCTATTTTCGCCTGCGGGCTGATCGGATTAATAATTGAAACGCTCGCTACTATCCTTGCTTGGTCAAGTCCCAGGTGCCTCGAGAACTCCTTCCTAACGCGTCTTAGGTGGGCGGGAGCGCGCCGAGGAGGCGGGACGCGAGGCGGGGTAGGGAAGCCGAGCCCGAGAAGGAGCCCAGGCCGCCGGGCGCCCTCGACGGGAGACGCTGCGCATTTATTTCTATTCCAGGCTTTCCACCGTGTGGTTATGTCACTTTCTCAAACAAATGTGTACATGGAGGGAGATCGATGCTGATAATGTTTAGAAGATTAAAAGAGCATTAATGCTGGCAACAGTAACGTAAACGTGTGGACCCAGATTTCATTGATCTGGAACCTGAGCCGGCGCGTTTCCAGTAAGCCCGACGGCGCGCTCTTCCCAGCAGAGCCCTCGCCGGCTCCCCGGCGCTCCCGGCGCGCCGCTTCCCAGCTCCCGGCGGGTTCTCCGGTCTGACCGCAGCTCCTCCCCAGCGCGGCCCCAGCCCGCCCCTTCCTACCCGAGACTTTCCCACGTCGCACGGCAGCCTACCCTCTCCCCTAGCCCCCCGCGCACACACCGCTTTCTGCGCTCCTCGCCGAGAGCTCTCCGGGAAGCTGGGTCTGCGACGGCGTTGCGTGGGACGGCGCCCAAGTCCCCCCAGCCCTCTTGTCCTCAAGGGGCCGTCGCCTCTCGGCCAGCGCAGCCTGCACCCGGTCCAGAAGGGCCCGGATCAACTTCTTTCCTCCATCGAAACCGTCCAGGAAATTCGGTCTCCCTCTCAGTGTGCGAGAACGACCAAGTCCAACTTTGGGAACGCCGTCTCTGAAGCTGCCTGCTAACCGCGCAGCTTTCTGACCCGCGGATCCCTTCCCAGCCTCTTTTTCATTAAAAG